TCTTTCTTGCATCAGCAGGTGCATCACGAGCAGGTCTAGGGAAGTGATAATTCCCCTCTATGCGGCATTGGTGAGGCCGCAGCTGGAGTACTGCGTCCAATTTTGGGCACCGCACTTCAAGAGGGATGTGGATAACCCTGAGAGGGTTCAGAGGAGGGCTACTCAAATGGTTGAGGGCCTGCAGGTAAGACCCTATGAAGACAGACTGAGGGACCTGAATCTCTTCAGCCTCTGCAAGAGAAGGCTGAGAGGCAATCTTGTGGCTGCCTACAAACTCATTAGGGTGGTCAGCAGAGAATAGGGGACACTGTTTACCAGGGTGCCTCTTGGGGTTACCAGAAATAATGGCCACAGACTGAAGGGGAACAGATTTAGATTGGACATAAGGAAGAAATTCTTTACGGTAAGGGTTGCCAAAATATGGAATGGGCTTCCAAGGGAGGTGGTGCTTTCCCCTACCTTGGAGGTGTTCAAAAGGAGATTAGATAGGCATCTGGCTGGGGTTACTTAACCCTCTTTAACGAAAAGCTGACCTCTTTAACGAATTCTTCACCTCCATATTCCAAAACAGGGACCGGGACATCTCTCCCACTAGAATTGTGGACAGACCCACAGGAGGCACCACCATGCCTAGGGTCAGGGATGATCTAGTTAGGGAACTTTTGGAGGGGCTGGACGTGTTTAAATCAGTAGGTCCAGATGCTCTGCACCCAAGAGTGCTGAGGGAATTGGCAGGGGTCATAGTGGGGCCCCTGGCATGGCTCTATGAGCACTCGTGGGGCACGGCCAGGTACCAGAGGTTTGGAAAAGGACCAGTGTGGTCTCCATTTACAAGAAGGGGAGAAAGGAGGACCCTGGCAATTATAGGCCAGTCAGTCTTACCTTGGTCCTTGGGAAGACCTTTGAGAAAATTATCAAGGAGCACATCTGCAAGGGCCCAGCAGGGGAGGTAATGCTCGGGGGCAACCAACACAAGTTCATTGAGCGCAGATCCTGCCTGACTAACCTGGTTTCTTTTTATGATCATGTCACAAAGTCCCTGGGCAAGGGTGTCGGGGTGGATGTTGTCGTCCTGGACTTTAAGAAGGCCTTTGACACAGTTTCCCACCACATTCTCTTAAAAAAACTAGGCAACTGCGGCATTGATGCCTACATATTCAGATGAGTGGCAATTTGGCTAGATGGTCACACCTAGAGAGTGGTGGTGGACAGGCTGTTTTCAACCTGGAGGGATGTGGGCAGTGGAGTCCCCCAGGGCTCAGTCCTGGGGCCTGTACTGTTTAACATCTTTATCAGCAATCTGGATGTGGGCATGGAAAGCACGCTGTCCAAATTCATTGATGACACCAAGGTGTGGGGCGAGGTGGGCACACTGGAGGGGAGGGACAGAATCCAGCTATATCTAGACAGGTTAGAGGTGGGCGGATGAGAATAGGATGGAATTCAGCACAGACAAGGGCAAAGTGCTGCATCTAGGGAGAAGGAACCAGCAACACACCTATAGGCTGGGGAACACCCTTCTTGTCAACACAATGGCAGAAAAGGCTCTTGGAGTCATTATTGACCCCAGGATGAACATGAGCCGCCAATGCGAGGAAGCGGTCAGTAAGGCTAACCGCACCTTGTCATGCATCTACAGATGCATCACAAGCAGGTCCAAGGAGGTGATCCTTCCTCTCTGTGCAGCATTAGTCAGGTCACAGTTGGAGTACTGCATCCAGTTCTGGGCACCGCACTTCAGGAGGGATG